TTACCTAAGGAAACAGAAATTGTTATTATAATAATAATAATAATAGTCATGCTAAATAGTCGGCCAGAATGAAACTGGATGTGATAGTCGCTAGGGAAAAACTTCGGAAGTGCTTTAATGCTGAAAGTATGTTGTAAATTGAAATATTTCTTGGTTGTCGTTGATTTTTGTCTATATTGGTGTTACTATTATTATTATTCCTTTCGGTTCCGAGTGGAACATAAGGTTGGATGGCTTCTTCTAGATTTCTGATATCTCACATCTTCTCCTCAAACAATCTCCTTCATGTCACCCTTACACTGACAACCCACTTGTTGTTGCCCATTGTGGTTCCACCACTCGAGGTTATGCCTGGCTCATGATGTCATTCGACGGCTTCCTCAGAGTATACCTAATCCATCCCCCAATTTTTTTATTTGTTAATATTTGTCAACAGTTTAAGCAAAATTCAGAATACAGGTTGACAGACATCAGAGGAATCACATATTTCTGCAACAAGTACCTAATTTTGATTGAACATAGATCTACAATTTTAAAAGTTAAAATCTTCAGATTCTCATTTGTTTTCTTTCTTCTTGTTTTTGAGTAATGGAAGCACATGTCGTCTCGAGACCTTTTAAATACCAGAACCTTTGAACAACACAACAACTGTGCTTATCTTACACGCCTAATGCTCGCCAAAGTGCATACAAACGCTAACAGAGCAAGCAGTTCATGCCAACGACCTGAATCTTGATGATTTAATCAGAGTATGCTTAGCGGTTCACTTGAAGTTTATCTTAACAACGAGAAATTCAGTTTGTAGATGAGCATTTACAAACTTCCGAGAAGCATTGAAAAAAAATTTAATAAAATAAATGCTGTTTAAAATAGTGTTGTGAATGGAAATGCAGCACTCCACTATAACCATTTATCGTATAGCCAGATTGTGAACTAATCCACAGACACATTTCGAAATGCAACTATAGACATCATGAATACTAACAGTTAGGTTTTAACTGATGTGCACTAACTTTCCTGGAGTAGTATGATACTGAGTATGTTTTAACACAATAACTCAACTATGATTATATATTTATATATTGACAAAAATCAACGACAACCAAGAAATATTTCAATTTACAACATACTTTCAGCATTAAAGCACTTCCGAAGTTTTTCCCTAGCGACTATCACATCCAGTTTCATTCTGGCCGACTATTTAGCATGACTATTATTATTATTATTATTATTATAATAACAATTTCTGTTTCCTTAGGTAATTTTTTGCATAGCTTGTACCAACCACTGAAGCGGACATAAAAATGACTTACGACGTGAAATTTAGGGATAGGGAAAGTTGGTGTGCTTCATTCACGTAGGTAAGAACAGATGACCCGTCCGAAATACACTTCTCCACCCCTGTCCATCGGTAATTAAAAGTGTAACCACACTGTGTGAATGGAATAGGAAAGATTGGAAGTTGTTACTGACGTCAAGCATTCATTGTCATTTCAAGCAGAGTTATAAAAGACAGTCTGAGTGTTAATGATTTTGACCAATCATACTCATTTCATGAAGGCTATCGGCTAGATGGCTTCTGTTCTCACTAATAATAGTGAGTGAGAAATTCCACTGACTCTAGGAAGAGATGATGTTGTATCTTGGCCTTTTCTGCACATGTCGATGAAGTGAACCACATTCAGGTCTTAATTCTTTTGAAAAATGTTGTTGTCCGTTATGAGACAAGATAATAATGATAATAATAATGCGATGACTGCATTTCGTGGGACAGAGGGAGTGTTAAACTTTTTGTTCAAGCATTAAATTGACCTTCCTGGGAAGAAAGAAGGTAAATTAGTTATTGAAATTGCGTCGTTGTTTAAGTGGTAGGATACTTACTAGCCACGGGGTTGGTCTTGGGTTGATTGCTCGACCAACAAACAGTGAAGCCAGGCATATCAAGTTATAAGCCCAGAGAAATCAATGTTTTTATACTAGTTGTATAAATAGCTGAGGTGAAATGCTTCTTGAATTAATCATAAAAGTGTTTGAAATCAAATGTCCGAATATGTCCATACTTTAGCTCCTAGTAAATAAGTTTGGGGAAAAACCTCCAGCTTTCACATGTTGAAACTACTTTTTGAAGATCACTGCATACTGGATTTCATCTTTTCGGTTGAAAACGCATGGTCCGGAGTTCGATCCTCGGCCACCCACACACTGCTTTATCTCATTGAGCCAGAAATAATGCTGGTTAAGAGGAAAAGTTGGACATGAGGCTAGCAACCCCACATCCTGTAAAATTGAACACTGCTACAGAGACTTCAAGCCACTAGCTTGAAGGTGCCCTATGTTCCACTGGGGAACGTGAAGGAAATAAACAAATATTATGAAACCGAGTTTGTTTTTTCGTTTATTCATTTACATTCTAAGTGGTACTCAGGGCTTCAAACTTGTTGAATTTTCAGGGATAGTGGACTGCCAATCTCACACGCAACGCTCCTTCTCCTCCGAGCTTGCCATTTAGTGACTACTAAACTGGATGCGTTTTAGGAATACGTTGGCCGATGACTGAATCCGGACCATGTGCATAGCTAGACAGTTCACCATGGAACTCACTATGGAACCGTTGACATACAAACTCAGGTTTTCCTAACGAAATCTTATTTTTATATAGTTTTGTAATCCGAAATAAATAATGCTGTCAGCCTTCATGAGAGGTAACAGTTTTTCGATTGTCACAATTAGTTTTACATTCATTCTGTACAGTAATATCTTTAATCGACTGGAAAACTGATGTCTACTGTCCTAATTGTCCTCAGTTAAGCATTAATTTTAACTCTTCGCTTGTAGTTAATGACAAGGAAATTTTCAATTTTCATCACGGATTGAATTCAGTTATAAAGCCACAGGAAAACCAATTACACCTGTTTCGTCCTAATTTTGGAAGTCTTCATCAATATGCATCCACTGGGGCTCTCAACTCTAGGACATTCTGGTTACAAGACAACATCCTGGACCATTTAACTTGAAACAAACCAAACCCTTACAAACTAACTGTTTAAAATAAGGAAGGTTATTAGAAACCTGAAATGAACAGCACATATTTCTACATACTACCATTCTGAGGGCAGCGAAAGCTAAGCTTTTGCGGCATCAGAAACTGCACGAAACATAAATGATATAACATTAAAGTACCATTCAAAGTAACCTGCACCAAAACTCTCATTTCTTGCATAAAGGGTCTAATATCTAATATGAGTTTAAAAGGCTTAACGACTGCAGAGTTTCAATTGATTTTTCTCGAATTGCTTAAACCATCATAATTTCATGCTTACCACTAAGTAACCTAGAAAGTGCTTTCCACAGTTCTGATTATATGTCACAACCATTGAAATCAACCACATATGTTGTTAAAAAAGAAAAAAACACCCAACATAGTTGCTTCCCTAAAATGTTCATCGATAGTCGTACTAGTCTGCTAGACATAATAGTCCCTGGGGCTGAAAAAAAAACACCCTACTTATTTAAACACTTGATAACTTTAAGTTCGACTTCTCTTGAAGTTAGAAATATACACAACCAAAGAATTTCAAGCCAGGAAAAAGAATATATCCTCCCACCCCGCCACACACACACACACACTAATTTACAGCAGTTTTCTGGCCAAACTGCTGTAATATCTCAACGGCTTCCATGGTGAATGTTTTGTCTAAACGCCTAAAAGTAGGCTGAATAGTGTGCGTTTGACTACCTCTCTTCTTTTTTGTCTAACTAACTTTCACGTTAATAAATTTTGCGTAGATTTTCTATCCGGCAAGAATAATCATTATCAGAATAGCAGTAAATCTTTACAAATTTTATCAGCCGTTAAACCTGACACATGAAACTGTGATAACACGATGGTCAATGAATAGGCGGGTGGGGGCTGGAACAACCGAAATCTTTAGTGTATTGTAGGAAGGAGGCTAGGCTTTTTGGGACTAGGTTACTGAGCTAGGCATTTTTTAAATTAAGTGTCATGGTTAAATTTTAGAAATCATGGAGATGAAATGGAAACGCACACACACATACACACACTGGGAAGACTCCTGAATGACGTCCCACGTCAGGCCGTCTAATGAGACCCGAATGGGAAGCGATGGTTTGCCCACTCAAGGATAACGCAGAGAAGATAAAATGTGAAGACAAAATGAAAGCTTGTGTGAGTAGTCGTGGAAAGTGATCACATAGTACCTAGTGCAGTGAAAATATGCCACTCGGCATTTAAGGAATGATTAACCACTAACAATAGTAAATCTGGTCATCAAGAAGCAACTTCAGTTTTACAGCTCGTGGCATAACTGTGACTTTGAAGTTAAACAAAGCTGTCACTCGAGGCATTCTAGCCAAGTATTGCTGCTTCTTATTCATACTGTCTATCTTCATTATAAGGATGCGTTTGTGGTTCAGTGGTTCTATGCTCACCAAACATACACTTGACCCGGGCGGGTCCAATTCTCATTTTAGCACACACTTTTAAACTTCACCCAACCGGTAGTAGGTCTGGTAAGGGGGGGGGGAGGTTGGACTAGTGGCAACCCTACTCCACCAGCGCCACTACACTGAAACTTTCGAGCTCAAACGGAGATAGATAAGACTGAGTATTGCTCATTATTATCTTCTTCTCAAATCTGAATGCTACAAACACTGACATATTATTTGTGGAAACAGTGTACACTATGGTAAGTTAGCCTCTATCATATTAACTATGGATAAAGAATGGATCACGATTAGAGTTTGTAAAAGTTTCAACTCCAAATGACAAGCAACCGAGATGAGTAAATAGAATGCAAATATTAAGAATGTATATAAGATTATATTTCACAAATGATCGATGGCATTATATTTATGTATCTTACTTCCTCTTAAACATCTAACCGCTCTAACTTCAAAGTTCTTTTACTATCGGTCATCGGATAATAAAGATGGTTTTATTATTAGAAAACAGAATGAATATTACGAGCAAATCTACTTACTTTAATTACATTTACACCTGCATCATTCGATAAATAGCCAAGATCTAATCTGTTTAAATCAGGTGTTTTATTCACATGTAGAGTTTGTGATTCTGGTGGTTGTTTTAAATTGCTGAAAAGCTGTGAATTTGTCCATGATTTTATCGGCGATTCATTTAAACTGACTTGTTCTTTAGGCAGTGTTGGTGATAAATATGACGACGATGATGATGAAGATGATGTTGATGATGATGATGTTGAACCTGACGACTCTGATGCAGTGGTTTTAACGATGAAAGGAAATGGACCGTGTGAAAGATATGGTAGTGGAAGTGGAGGCTGTATACACAAGGCTGGTGAGTACTGATGATCTTGTAGATTTGGAAAAGCTGATACGAAGGATGTGGTTGACGACTGAGCCAACAGACTAACTGACATTTGTTTAATAAGTTCAGGTGGAGGCAACATCATATTTTTCGATGTATTATTAGTAATATTAATACCATTATTAACCAGAAATTTACTTTCATTCGGAGATATATTCGTAGAAATAGATGTTTCATTGACTGTCACCGTATTACTAATAGTTTTCACTGACAACTGTTCAGTTCGCATTTCAAGTATCTTCTTCAAATGATTTGTTATTTCGTTTAAACTCTTAGCCGGTTGATGCTGACTTCTGTCAACACAACAGCCGAGTATTGTATCAATCCCAAATTTGAGTTGTTGTTTCGTTTTCTCTTGTAGTAGTAGTCTCTCCTTCTGATTGTGCGCTTCTTCAGCGGTCGTCGTCGTCGGCGGCGGCGGCGTATTCACTGATGACTCTGTTCTGTACATGAAGTTATAAATCAAGGAATTCTCCTCCATGGGAACTGTCGTCTGGTTGGGAGGTTTTTGGCGTATTTCTTCATCAGTGAGTTTTAAGTTCTGTGGCGGTGGCTGCTGCTGCTCTTGTTGTTCCTCCTGATGTCGTTGTTGCTGCTGGAGAAGGAGTATACTGAACAATCTTGTGAATTCACTGCTTGTTGAGAATAAATCATTATTTTTATAAGCATAACTGTGTATTTCATTCTTTTCTAGTGTATTCAACATTATTTTAGAATGATTCAATCCTTTCCCCCGGGGGTGCTTCTTATTTTAATTTTAAAGTACAACCAATTCACTATTATTACAATATGTATTAGGATTCTGTAAATTCTCTGTTCTGCGTACGATAAAGGAACACACACTTAGGTGTATAATGAGTAAATATGTATATGTGTATATATATATTTATAAATTTATTAGAGACAGTGACAATCTATTTATTGTCCAATGCTAATTTGTATATATATATATATATATATTCGCTTATTGTTATTATTATTGTTGCTGTTGTTTTTGTTGGTTGTGGTTGTGGTTGTGGTGTTAACACGCGTCTATCCAATGAAATGCAAAGGTGTATGGCAAAGTTCTGTTTTCTCTTTTTATTTTTGATTAGCAAATTGCTTTCGTTTCTCTCCGTCTCTCACTTAAGATAAAAAAAGAAAATAGAAGAGAAGAAAAGAACTATCACAATTTGTCTGTGCACTTTATTTGCTTACTTTCTCTGTTGACAGTGTGTTTGTATGATATTACAACCTTCGCTTTCTATCCATTCATTCATTCACTCATTCAATCGTATTTATTTAACCTATCTCTACGCTATCTATTCTAAGTATTCGGTTGACGCCCACATTTATCGCCTTCAGATATTATTGTTTCGCTTTTTTCTTCAGTAAACCTCTCTTTCTTCTCCGTCTAACATATTACTGGTTATTAGCTAGCTAGCAGGCTAGCTAGTTAACCCTATTGAATATTATTAAATAATATTTATGTATATATATATCTCTTCCCCTAGCGTAATTGTTTACATATATGAAATGAAAGGGGGGAGGTAGGGTAGTTTGGAGAACACCGTTGTTCCAGTATTTTTAATGGATGACGGGTAATGTCAGTTAGTTCGTTAGTTAGTTAGTTTGTTTGTTTGTTTTGTTGTCTGACGTGTGTATGTGTGCGTATCCATGCAAATAATCCACACATCTCTCTATCTATCTGTGTTGTGATACAAACTGTGTGAACATATCATCAGAATGCTTCAATCCGATTGGGTCTGGGGGTGAGGAGATAAAATATAATAAAGCAACTGGCTGCACTACACTCACTCCAAAAATACTGTGACCCTTTTTCTCCTTTTTTCTGTGTGTCCAACATTAAGACAGAGAACACACGCACACACGGACGGTCATGTGTCCTGTATGTGTATTTTGGTGGGATTGGTGGGGCGGGGGGGGGATGGAGTTGGCTGGTTGGATTTGTGTGCATGCTTCGTTTTTGAAACAAAAGTGACAGATCACTTATGAAAACGGGATCATTAATGTCTGATCTGATGGCCTAATTAAAAAATATATATCACAAGATGTTAAATAAACTCTCAATCCTATCGACTTAATGTGAATACGTTACATTTGCTCACTTTGACAGCCTGCGTGAATGACAATCAGTTTATTTCGAGAATAATGCAGTTAAAAAGGTGGAGAAACCATAATAATACAGAATAATTATTCATCCTGTTTTTACTTACAATTCCATGTTTAGTTATCAGCTCAAAAAGCACAGCCCAACTTGACATATGGAAATTAGGTGACTATTGACTTGATCCTTCTCACATTAATCTGAATAGTTATTTTTTTTCTCTTGATTGGACAATAGTCAGTAACTAGTGTGATGTGTCTAGCCCTAATCTTCACTGCAGACTGAATTGTATCAGTCAATCAGGTTTGCAATGTGGCCACCATGCCACTAGGTAGCTGGTTGGCTCACCGTCACGGTGCACATTGATTTCAGTTTCCGATGTAGTAAACGAAAGTTAACTGAAGCTGTTTGTTCCTATAAACGTTGCAAAATTGATGGCACTGATATAGAAATCAAGTCTGAAGTTAAGTATCTTTGATTAATTCTTTCTACTGATCTATCCTGGTCTTCCCATGTCTAAGTGATTTCTAAAGGAATATTTCGTCTGACATTTTACATTAAGAAGTTAGAGCACTCCTCATGCAAGGAGGAGATGAAAGCATGTGGACAGACCTGGAGCAGGGTGGAAAAGTTGTCAGAAAACCGAAGGAAATGGAGGTGCGCAGCTGAAGCCCTATGTTCCTCTAGGAACTAAAGGATACAATAATAATATAATAGTAATAATCAGGCATAACGCAACCAACTCCTCCTCTTACAGTTTGTCAACTCGTGCATCTTACCCATTCTTCTTTACTGTTCACCCTTATTCTTTCCTGGATTGCTTAAAAAAGACTATGTCATACTTCGTAGAACTCTGAAGGACGAGTGGTATCCCATTGGGCCATATCATTGACATTGTCACTGAAAGGCACTTGATGTCATGCAACGAATTTTCTAAAGGAATTTTTTAAGAGTTAATCACGAATTGATATCAGTTAGAGAAGCATTGAAAACCAGGGAGTACTGGACAGCTGCTGTTTCATCCTAGTTTGGGAATCATCGGCAGTACGCACCCACTGTCCAGTACTCCCTGGTTTTCAATGCTTCTCTAACTGATATCAATCCGTGATCAACTCTTAAAAACATAACTAACCCTTACAAATTAAACTATATAAAGGAATTTTGTCAGACTCTGAGCACCCACTCTACCCTCAGCTCCAGCCTTGTGTCTCCTCAGGTAAAAGAAGGAGTCTTTTTAGAAGAATTTACGCACGTACGTCCAAGTATAAAAATTCCACTATGCCATATTTAGCACGTACTTTATGCGATGAAAATAATGTCAGGCATGAACTAACTAACTAACCTTCTTTGCACTACTAAATAAACCATTTTCCTCCACCCTTACAGTACCAAACTTTATTGTTATTGTATTTCTTATATTTATAATCCTATCAATTTTTTGTTTTTATTTATTTATTTTTCATAATTGTGAACATCGTTTAAGCTGTGTCACCACTGTTATTCTTGTATTTCTCCTCACTATACTAAATCAGCAGAACATTAGATTCAATACTCTATAGTAACATGCTAAAATTTTCAAACTGAATCGACAATACTGTTTGAAACAAACTCACTGTTATTATTATTACTATTATTATTATTTAATGATCTCAATTCGTGCTTCGAATATTTTTGACTTATATCGTAAGCGTGGACCAATTCCTCTGGTTACCTTTGTTTTAATTTTATTTATATTTTAAGTAAATCAGATGCAAGGTGTTGTGACAAATGCTGAGAATTCCATCCTGTATTATAAGTACTGTTTTTGGAATAAAGTAAATTATTAAATTATTATTATTATTTGATGATATTAGATGGTTGGCGGAAATCGGCCACAGGAAGCCCTACCTGACCTAGGTTTCGAGCTAGTTGGCACTCACTAGTCAGTCAGCAAGGCAGGCGTATCTGCAACCTTGAAGGAACAGCTCATGTCTCTTCTGAGGTTCGAACCCGTACTAACCAGTGTTGCACTCAGAAATGTTACCAGTGGGATATTCGAGTACTTTGCATTAGTTTAGGCTTACTAGTTCGAATGTCTGTTGCCTCATTTATACGTCCGTAGTAGACGAATAGAGAGTCCATCGGTGGGATGCGATGAATCACCTTGAATACTTTCGCTTTCTCCACTAAATGTTGCACAAATGGGATACGCATGACTTTTGTCTGTCCATTGTCAAACCACAAATTTATTGTTCATAATCATATCAATTGTTCGAAAAGTCATCCAATAAATAATACTCCTTCTGTGACTGTGTTACATCTAATAAACAAACTGATATGTAATTGCTTATTACCACAGTGCCCAAGTTTTACACATATATATTAATAAATCGCATGGTTAAACGAAACGCCTACATCTATATAAATGACATGTGCAAAAATAACACACACACACACACACACACGAAAATGCAAACCACATGAATCCGATGATAACACTTTAGAACACTGTAAATTATCCAACGAAAAAGTTTATTCAAGCAGTTTACGTAACATAGTTGGACATAAAACAAAAATGTTTTCGTTTTCTCCCAACTAGTTCAGAAAACGCAGAATTGGTTCAAACAGACTTGATCCATTACCGTCTATATAAATAAAAGAAATGAATTGATTAGGTGAATATATCATATTAGTTTCACCTACTTACCTTTTCCGAATTCTGTTTCTTATCCGGCTCATCACTCTACCAAAACGAATCCGAATCCGATTAAATGCCACGATCAAACCGAGTGACGATAAGATATGAAGAATCCATATCCACCAAACCACAGACTGTGTGTACATTAATGGCATTTTGAAAAAAATGATTCATTCTGCATCGCATTCGTATTTATAATTTACTTTTTGATGAGCATAGCTCACATCACGAGGTCATAGTTGTTTGAAGTAAAATTATCCAATAATAAAAAGTGGGCAGTATAGTGATCACAATTCACATCTATTCAAGTTGTTATTGATTTGTCTAGAAGGCAGAATTAAATCTACTCACAATGGGCACCTGTTATAAAATCAACAGCTAATATGACTAATAAATACATTTATCACACATAATGAATTGGTTATTCAGCTAAGATATGTGTTAATTACATGACATCGATTCCTTATGTATTTCATTATTCAGATTGCATACAGCTAGCTACCGAAACAAAAATCTTCATACAATTGCAGTACAGATTGAGTGACAAAGTCATTTAATCCCCTCCCTATACATCAGCGTACATACATCTCACTTTGATTAGTTAGACACTAGTAACTAGTGTGGTGTGTCTAGTCCTTTGCTTGATGTAAACTGAATTCTGTCAGTCAATCAGGTTTGCAATGTGGCTGCCATGCCACTAGGTGGTTGCTGGCTAACCATCACGGTACACTGTAAATCGTTGGTATTAGATGGTTGAAGGCAATCGGTAGGAAGTCTTCGACCTAGATTTCGTGCTAGATAGGACTAGACTCATTAAAAACTAGTTACTGACTAGTGTGGAATCAAAATATCTGATACAGTCTTACAGGTGGTCAATCGTGAGCCCGAATATCTTAGTGGTAACGTCTCTGGCTACAGTACTCACTGGATGACGCGGGTTTGAATCTGAGAGGGGACATGAGCTGTTCCTTCAGTGTGATTGCAAATACGCCTTTCTGACTGATGATTACCAAACTAGAAGGTTTCCTGTGCCCGACTGCCTCCAACCGTCTAATACCAACAAATCTGAATGGTGTTACAAACACAGACATACTTCCTTGTAAAGGGGAATTGATGAAACAACGGGGTGAAATGAATGTAAGGCTGAACGTTGTTTCACTTTTATGCAACAAAACGTGTGTGTATGTATGTATGTGTATATATATACACGCATAATTGTTACTTGAGAAGTGCCGAGGATTGTAGTTGCCTTCTAGATAAACCAGTTTCACTGAACCACAGAATATTTGAAGAAATCAATAATTGCTGTTGAAGCAAGCAAACTGACTGTTTTCAAGGCGTTAACTACTCATTCTCCCTCCCTCTCTCTCTCTCTCTCAACAGTATGTCATATTGTGTTCATACTTTGATAATATAGAAGTGAATAGAGTAAAATCTGTTGTGTGTGGGTGGGTGTGTGATTTCACTTGGTCGATTTTTGATGAGTTTTATTT